TTGCCAGCACTTCAGTTCAGACTGTGAGCAACTCGGGGGTCTATGGATTGACATTCTCTGAATGCCGCAAGCAAATCACCAGGCCCAACATATTGGGGATAGGCTAACCTGGGCTGACGACGATACACGAATCGAATGGGGAACGCCGAGATGTGCGATGAAGCCGGGGGATGGCAAACTGCACGCGAAGGAAGAGGATGCCACACTTTAAAGCAGGCTAAGCGCCAGATGTGCCAATCTTCGCAAAGGGAGCGCCATCCTTCTGAGCAACTTCGGAGTGACTTAGACCTGCCAGAGGGACAGTCACAACCCAAATCTGAAGTCTCTGTCTCCCAACATCTGCCCATATATCCCGTCCTGAAGGTAGACTCATGGTGTTTGGAGGCACATGCATCTGGTTTCCCAATTCTGTCCAAGCAGGACATCGGTGCATCGCCATAGTTGGAAGATCTCTTAACCATTTCTTGAGTGAAAGTTGCCAAAGGTTCTGGGAGAAGCAGTGACAAACTCTGGGATCAGCCCCATTTCAGGACATGGCTGCAAGGAAAACACGCTGCTTTCTTCTGATTCGAGCTCTGTCATTAGATATTCCACACAGCGCCAAAAGCCCGCGCGCGGTGTTTTTGTGGGGTTGAACACGGCGCTCGGCCAAAACATGGGTGTCCCTCGATATTGGGCCCGACTGGCTTATGTGTTCTTGTGTGTGCTTTCCTTCTCAACGTGCGGATTGGCACCCCCCCAATTTTAGGAAGCACCCACAAAAACGAGCTTAATGGGCATTTTCGCAGCCTTGCTGCCGGTTTGTGACGCCCCCGTGGTTAAAGATGTCCAAGCCGAGGAACAGGGAGGGCAGGTCTGCCAGCTTTGCATTTTCTTGCAATGGTGAATGCTTACACAGGGCTCCTTAAAATATACATTTTGCCCATTTGAAAACATGGCTTTTTCCACCGGAATAAAGGGAAACCACCATTTACAAGGCAATGTTCAGGTGTATAATGTAAGGATCCCTGTTACAAGAGTTTGCTGTTGCGAGGGCGAACAAAAATGACACTCACGGAAAGGCACGGCGTGGGGAAAGGGTCTCCAACGCACACCCGCACGGTGAGGCAGAGCGGTTTCGAAGCCGACATGAATATATATATATATATATATGTTTAGTGCATGTACGTACATACATATCTATACCGAGTGCTTCTGGTTGCCTGTATAGTTGGTAAGCAGTTTGATTACCTACTATATTGCTAACTGGCCGGTAGTTACCAGAACCACAAAAGGCTACACAGAGGGCAGAACCGTAAAACAGAGTGCCGGAACCGTGAAACAGGCGGGTAGGACCGTGAATTGGGAGACCGGAACCGTGAAATCAGCTTCCTATTTTTTGGGAACCGAGCTTGGTTCCAGCAAACTTGGTAACCACGGGCCAGTTGCCTGCCATACAGGTAACCAGGAAGCGCTGGGTAAAAGAAAAAAACATCTACTGTCAACATGTATATATATATATATATGGTGCATATATATATATACATATATATATATATACATATAATATCATATATATACACACATAAATATATATATATATATATATATATATATATACACATCTATTGTCAACCTCAAGTGCGTTTCAGCTTTTGCCAAGCTGCCGCTGGGTTTCGAAGACCGAGGCCGGGCCCCTCCACCTGGGCAGTCCGGGCCTTTGCGCAATCGGACACGCGGGGAACCGGGCGATTCGTTTTTTTTTTTTTTCCATGGCCCCCCTTAAAAGTTGCCGGTGGACAGAAGTTCAACCACCAAGCTGAAGTGCTATTGGGCTGGATCTTCAGACTTTAACTTGTTGGTTGAAATCAAGGGGTTTTCCACTAAACCCCCAAAAAGGAAAACATTTTGCAGGGGGGGGCAACAGCAACCAGGAAAAAAGCAAAATAGAGGAGAACAACACGTAAAACCCCCACCCCAAAAAGGAGAGACAGAGGACACAAACACGTAAACATTTTTTGAACAATATAAGGAGATAAGAGGCGGTTGGTCTCTAAATTTTGTTGGGAGGTTGGACGTACAGCTGAAAACGGAAGTGGTTGATCGCAGAATCCATCCAGCTCAGACAATCCAGGTGTTTAGTTGGTTTGGAATACCAACTTGCCGGCGGTTCTGCGTTTGGTCGCTTGGTACAATCATGTTTTTCTCCCCACCCCCACCCTCCATGGAAACGGACGGCAAGCCGATTCCCGATTCCTTCCGTCAACGGCCCAAACCTCAGGTTTGCGGGAGAGGGCTCGCTCACAGAGAGTCAGTTCCCGTGGATTAGCTCAGTTGCCCAAAGCGAATCGACCTTTTGACCTTTTGGTGGTCCAATTTTTGTCTATTTTTTGGTAAAGGCCCCAAGAGGTTAACCTTGTATTTCTGGGCCCTTTGGGCGACTGAGTTATGTAGAGCCACTCTTGAGACGCCTTCGATCGCCTTCGATCATGTGGTTTTTGATTGGGCAGGGCTTTTTTCACATGAGCGACGGGCGAGGTTCACCATCTGCAAGGAGGATAGCATCGGGCACAATTACCAAATGATCACTGCCAGACTAGGTTGACTTCCCAAAGTAGTCTTGGTATGGGTCCCAAAATTATGTTTGGTTTTCCCTTGAGAACGCCCTGCAAAAGCACGTCCCTGATTTTGCAGGGGTCCCCATGTTTCCCTTCATGGTTTTAAATGCCTTTGTCGGCCGGAAGGTGAGTTTTCCCTGGGTATGGGGTGATGTACGGAGAAATATGGATGGAACCCTGATGTTGGGACCGGACTCCCTCTCGTACCTTGTCTCAATTAAGACGGGGGCGAGGTGACAACCTACGTGAAGGATGCTGGTACTGGCGCGCCGTGCGCTGCCAAGAGTGAGCAATGGGGTGGGGCAATTCTTGGCGGTTGTCGCTTGCCACACATTCCAGGACAAGGAGGGTCACCCATGTGGAAGTTTCCGGATTTCCGGGGCGGTTTCAGTTTGCGGGCCCCAAGTTTCGGACAACAACAATTGCAAAGGCGATGGAAAAGGATGCGGGAGCAGTTTGGTGTCCTTCTTGGTTTAGTTTAGCGGTGTAGAACTAGATGGTGGTTTAGATTGGATGTGATTCTATCTACCAGGGCCTTCTATAATGTTGATCCAGGATGAATAAACCCGTCCCATTAGGGGTGTTCCCTCCAAAACGTGGTCTGAATCCCCACTAAAAGGGGACACCCCCCTATTAATCAACAAGGGGTTCTGCTTCATCCGGGGTTAACATCAAAGGGCACCTATGGGAGGTTGCTGAAGACGCAAGTGGCGGCGCAGCTGAGGGAGGTTCCTTTCCTTGTACTGTAGCTTTGCAATCCATGTGGTTCTGAGGAGAACCTCATCATTTGCTTGGGGGCCATAAATCCCGACCTAAGCGATGTCCAGAGGGGCCTGAAGAAAACATCGCCCAAAACACAGACCCATTTGGGCAGAATAGCAACACTAGGTTCTTCTCAGTGATCCCAAACTTTGGGGTGAATCCAGATACGTCCACCATTTTGACTGTCAGATTCACGAATTCAATATTCCTGCGAATTCTTGCTTCTTTACCCATCAACCCTCAAGTCTGATGTTGAGCCCATTGGGTTGAGGACAAACCCTGCCTGCCCCATGACAGCCAAAGCCGCCATCCCTACCCGCAACTGTCGGCCTCAGCTTGAGGCCCGCGGTTTCTTGGGGTGCTTGGCATTGAAAGCACCCTCACACGAACCATTTGAGAGGCAGCACCCGCTGGTTTTCGTGGAAGCCCTGTGCAAAGGCCCAAGGGGTCTTTGCCGAACTCTCCTCTTGTTTTTTTTTTTTTTTTTTTTTTTTTTTTTTTCCGGGTGTATTCTCTTGGCTGCTGTTGGGTTGGATCTTTAGACTTTAACTTTTCGGTTGAAATCAAGGGGTTTTCCACTCAACCCCAAAAAGTTAAGCTTTTCGCAGGGGGGTCAACAGCACCCAAGTTTTTCAACAGAGGGATCAAGATGATGCCATGGAGAAGTGCTCAGGGCAACCACCACGTTGATGCCAATGGTGACGCCGGAGCCAGAGCACTCGCTCGCTTCGGGCGGTTCGCTTTGCGGTTCGGGCGTGCTTCCTTGCCTGAGGTGGGGCTCGGTCAAGAAAAACAACCGTACTCTAGGTCCTTTATGCGGGAAAAAAGTATTTTTGGCTATGGTTCATGCGTTTGAGCAGTTGACCTGTTGCGCTTTCCCGGTAGCCGATTCAAGCCCGCGATGCCCTTGATCCTTAAGCCTTGGATCCGTGAAAAGGGCGTTAAAGGAGCCCCGAAGAGTTCGCTGGGCTGTCAGATCAGCGGAATGTGCCGGTGCATTGCTTGCCGTTTTTGAGACCACCTTCTTTGGGTTGCTTCGGGACCAGACAACACGCGCATTTTGGCTCCCTCAGTTGGAGACAAGCTCATTTCAGAACATGTTGCGAATGTTTTATTTTTTAACGCGCGCACAGACACACAGGCTTGTCCGATTTTCTCGGTCCGAAAAGGGGCCTTCGGCATCATTGTGTGGCCTTTGTTGCGGGAAGACCGTGGGCAACGTGGGCCAACTTCTTGATTGTAATACGGAGTTGGCATCCATATCAAAGCCTCTTGTCAGCTTCTACTGTTGGAGGGAAGGCTCTGGTTCATACCAGAGGTTCCTCTACTGCTATTGGGTTGGATCGTTTGACTTTAACTTTTTGGATTCCCCTCATATTTCCTTTTAACCATCAAACAGTTGAACTTTTTGCCCAGAGGTTCATGCTCAAGGTTCATACCAGGGTTTTTCGGGTCTTCCGAGCGCGAGCTCCCCATCCATTTGCTCAAGAATATTGCTTTTTAATTTGCCCTTGCTGGTTTTAAAGGGAATCGATTTCACTACTGGAAACATTTGTATTTTTTTCCGGGGGGCGCAAAAGCAAATGGAAGTGACCTTTGGACCACTGATTTTCACATGCCATTTCCCCTAGTTCATGACAGATGGAGCCAGTTCAGCAAATGGAAGTCCCGGTCCCAAGCTTGTGTTGAGGTGCACGCCGGTGGGCGGCGCCTGCGGCCTCTTCCCGCCGGAAGAGGCGCGCCGCGATGAGGTGCCGGCGCCTCAGATCAGTTCGCAGGGTGGGGATTGCTCTCGTCCCTTATTCTTGAGGAATCGGACCCCCCCCAAAGATGGCATCCTTGTGGGTTTCCCTGTAAAAAAAAGCACAAACCAGGGATTCCAAAGGGTATGGCTCAGTTTTTTTGAGTTGGTTTCTCTGTTTTTGGTAGACTTTGAAGGGGAACCGCAAAGGCCAGCCGATTTTTTTTGTTTGTGGGAAGGGGGGGTCCACCCAAAAAAACGCCACGTGTCCAGCTTCGGGGACCCAAGACATGTTTGTTTTTTTGGCAGTATCACCAAATTGGATGACAGCTAGTTCCAAAGACTACCTGAGCTCTGGCTTCAGAACTTCCGGGTGGTACTTCCGAGAGGATTTGGTTTCCTTTTGGCTTCCTTGCAACAAAAGACTTAAGCCCAAGATTTGCTAGGTCCCCCAGCTAGGTGCCCTTTCTCACCCAACTTTTTTGGTTGGAGAGTTCCCCGTGTCTAAAATAGACTGCAGAAAAAAGAAACGGTACCCTTATTCTAATACAGGGCTCCTTAAAAGATACATTTTGCCACCCTTTGAAACATGTTGCTTTTTCAACACCAAAATAAAGTTGGAAACCCCCATTTACAAGTTGCAATGCTCAGGTGTATAATGTAAGGATCCCTGTTTAATTGCGACCCATATCCAGATGAATTCCACTGGTTTAGATGGGTTTCATAAACCAGGCCATCCACTTTTCCAAATGGCCATGGGTCAGACTCCAAAGCCCGTACCCCCTGTGAACATCCGATTCAATCCCCCAGGACCTAGTGCCGCTGTGCTGTCTCTCAGGCCCCAGGTGGACCTCGCATCCGTTTTGTTAGATGCTCGAGCCCACGAGCTCCGAAGGAACCCCGATGTTCCCCGGTGAAAACCAGTGCAGAGGCGGGAGTTGTTTTTTGCCAGTGAGGAAGAAGGCATAAGAAGGCATTGGATTTTATTTGGATACCCTTTAGTGGACACCATTTAGGTTGGGATTCATGTCCACCAACCACTTTTGAGGTGGTTCCCTATGAAAATTCATAGCCATATGGGTGAAGGATTTGTCCCAGACACAGATAGATGAATGGGAACTTGGTCAAGGTCTTGTGGTAGAGCCTTGGTTCTACCCATGGCTTGGATCCTGCCGTTTTTTGTTTTTTGTTGAGCTTAAGCCCCGGAATCCACACCCAAGGATGCCATGTTTCTTTGGTCGTTGTAAACGTTTGTTCCTTTGCCACTTAGCCATGCTTCCCTATCATCTCGCATATGGCTCGTCTTCTTTAGAGTTGGCGTCCTTTTTGGGGTGAAGGGAAACCATTCGGAAGCTTCCGATTTTGGGGATCCCTTAGTTGCCATTTTCATATGGAGTCGAAAGCACCGAGGCTGAACTTAAACGGGCCGGACGTGCTGGGATATCTTCGTCCCGACCTTGGACGCTCCGATTTTTTGTTTTGAGGCCCCAAAGTGGACTTACAATTTGGGGGGTTGATGTCCTCGCAAAACGGGCCATTCTGTTCTATGCCCGAGATCGAGAGCCCTTTTACAGACTAGAGTCTGAAGACACAGGCGGAAAGGACCTATCATCTCCCCCCCAAGCGCGCAGGCAAACTCCGAGCACCTTCAAGCATATCAAGGGAGGGAGCCACAGCGATGCCCCCCCCCTAAACGAAGCGCACAGGCAAACTCCGGGCATCTTCCAGAAGAAGAATCAAGGGAGGGAACCGGTTGAACCGCGAGGGACGTCTTCATGGATCCAGGCGTGATGTCCAGCTCCTTCATCAACCCCATCTACTACGGCGTGTCCTGGCCTCAGTCGGGCCGCCGCGCTCGTCCGACCGCAAGATCCCAGCGCCCGATCGAGCCAGGTTAGTTTGAACCCACTCCGGAAGGATGGTGAACACACAGCTGTTGGCTCCCCTGTAAGAACAAACCAACCGCGGCAGTTCCAAGACTCACAAAAAAAATATTTTTTCATCCACACCTTTTGCACCTCCTGGCCCTGTCAACACCCCACTTTGCGGCAGTTCCAAGACTCACAAAAAAAAGAAAGCAACGGAACCGCACACCTCCAGGCCTCCAGATGCCCCCCCGAAAAATCCGTTTTGGCTCCGAACCCAAACTTTTGGCCTGGGCCATCTCTCGAGGAGCACTGCCTTGGTGACCTTCGAGCTCCGGGGGGTGCGGGCACCGGGTTGGTGGATTGGGGGTTTGACGAGAGAAATGGGACGTCGGACATGGGGAGGTGTGGATTTTTGGAGGTTTGGTACCCAAGTGGTGATTTTAGAAGAAAAGCAAAAGCAAAGGCCAAGAGAAAAGCCGCCGAATGTGTGTGTGTGTGTGTGTGGGTGTTTTTGTTTTTGGTTTTGGTACCCAGGTGGTAGTTTTAGAGGAAGTCCAAAAGAAAACTCACCAAAAAGGAAAACCACTGTGATTTTTTTTTTTGTGTGTGTGTGTGTGTGTTTTTGAGGGGGTCCGTTGCAAAAGAGACACCCCCAAATCCAAAATTGTGTCGCTTAATATTGAGACCATGTCTGGCTTTGAGCCCCTTCCCCCCCCCCCCCCTTCACATGCTGTTGGCTTTGAAAGGGAAGCCCACAGAAACGGACCACTGGATAGTTCACTACTTCGGGAAATTCCATCTTGGGGGCTCCCCTAATTTGGAGACAACTACGTGGTGGCGGGCGGCCCTCTCGTGGGCTCATTCCGCTCTTGGACACAGCAGTAACATGATGAGGAGCCATCATGAGCACTTGCCGTTGGAAGCTTTGATTGAGAGTTCTCTGATGGAGCTGACGCTGGTGCCCTGAGGGATCCCTTGCACTGGTGGATCACTTGAAACTGTGGACTGAGCAACGAGCAGTTGTTGACTCAACTGCTATTGGGTTGGATCTTTAGACTTTCACTTGTTGGTTGAAATCAACAGGTTTTTCACTAAACCCCCCAAAAGTTGAGAGTTTTTTTGCAGGGGGTTCGTTTCAGCAACCAAGTTGAAGCCTTTCAAATCAGCTTGGATCGTTGATCCATGAGATAGGTCCACCGGCCACGGTCGGACGATTTTTGGAAATCGGATCAGGAAACCTCCCACGAAGTGAACGACGTGCTGGTGGTGCAGCGCCCCCCGGGCTACACCATGCGGGGGGCCTCGATGGATTGATAGACCCGCCCGCTGTCGGCCAGACAGAGGAGGTCCCCCAGCAATTGGTGCCCTTTCTCACCCAACTTTTTTGGTTGGGAGGGGTGAATTCCCCGTGGCCCCAGCAGCGACTGTTCAGCAACCTTTTTGCAAGAGGTGACGTCCAAGCAAGAGAATGGTCCTAAGCTTAGGATGGAGGACACCCTATAAATACTAGGGCTTAGGATGGACCCTAGAAATACTGGGAGAAACAGTACACAACTTGTCCAAACCTCAGGATGGAGGACACCCCACTGGGACCAACGACCGATCCCGGTCTCGGGTCGTCGGATTTTTCCGTTCCCGTTCCTCGCGTGGCCTCCAATTGGAATGGAAGCTGAGAGCACCCAACGCCCAACTCGCTCGCTCCAGGCAGCTGGGCAGCCTCCGGGCCCTGAGATCCGTGAGCTTCGGGGAGAGCGGCCCGGGCCCTCGTTGGGGCGAGGCGGCGTCGAGGCGTCGAGGCGTCGCGGAGCCCGGGGCCGAAGCTTCGGGGGGGGGCCTGGGGTCGGGTCTTCCGGTGGGGGAAACCCGTGAGCATGGAACCAAGGCAGGTACCAATTCAGAATTCGGGGGGGGGGGGGGAAGGAACAAAAAACGACACGGGGAAATGCAAGCCATAGGCGTGTCCTCTTGGTTTGAAGACTGGGGAAAATGGGGTACCAACTTTAAACGAAACACACCCAAAGAAGCATTTGAAGCGAGCGAACATTCGCAGCAGTGGCAATTCGTTGGACCCCGAATCCGGGGTCAACATTCTCAGCCCAAGAGCCCAAGACGCCACGGAGTTGACGCCCCAGGTTTTTGAGGGGCGGGCTTCTTTGATGGGAATTCGGGGGCATTCGGGGGCAGGCGGGGGGGGGGGGGCACAAACAAGAATCCATTAAAACTGGTTGAAGAGACGTTGAGAGTTGTCTTTTGATTCTTGTGTTCGATAGTCACAGCCATATCATGGTGTGATATTAATACATAACAAAACAAGATAAATAATTGTTTGCCAGCCGCAAAGGGCTGCTCGCAAGGTCTCGACTTCCTCCGCAAGTGGAGCACGGACTTCACCAACCCGGAGGTGGGTTCGCTTTCCGAGATCGCTCGCAGCTGGTGCCTGTTTTGGCCTGACCCCCAAACAGGTGCAACGGTGTTCCTTTTGTTTTTACTTTCGGACCCCCAAACTGGCGGTGACCAACTTGTGGTTCGGGCGGCTCGGACCAATCTGTGGGCATGAGGGGGAGGTTGCCCAAAACCCATGCAACGCTTTCCTCGCACCGTCCTTGCATGTGCTTGGCTAGAGAAGTACTGAGCTCAAACTCTGGGTAAGGAGTGCAATCGGTTCAAACAGTTCAGTCTCCGGAACAGCGTGAACAGCGAATCCCCAATCCCAGGTCCCTTAAGGTCCCTTCATGCATGCGACGCTAGATGGGCACGACCCTGCTGTTTCTCAGCGCGAAAGTCATCGCAGCCAGTACCAGCTCAATACTGAAAAAGGATGGGTGGAGGCACAACTATTTGCTCGGAAGTGCCTTTGAGTGTTTCCGATTCGGGGATCTCCGCTTGCTTTCTTACAAGAAGCCGAGGAACACTTGCTCAGCCGGCAATGATAAATTGAACGACCCTGAGAAAAACAAGCACACAACTGGTGATTTCCTTTGAGGGAATCCTCAAATGGTTCATTCCTTGCCAAACTGGGGCGGCCGGAGAAACGCGTGCGTCATGCGCAGGACTTCTACGCCGTGCTCACACAGCCCGTCCCGGCTCGGCACACAGCGTGGGATGGCTCGAGGTTTGACCCGGCGAAAAAGGCCAAACGATGCATCCATGGCCATTCTGTGGTGGCAACAAATATGGGAAGCATGGAATAGCCATCTCCTCAGTTTTTTTTGGTTTTAGAAGCTTCCGTTTAGCCCACTAAGAAGTTGGACTGTTTGCGGGGGGTCGGCAACAATGGGCTTGGGGGTGATGCATGAACTCGCTCATGAAGCCTCTTCCCTCAGGTAAACGGTAGTGCGATAGTTTCGCGGGGATATGCGCTATGGTCCAAGTTCCTTTTGCTTTGGGGCTGGTAGGTACAGTCATTAACAGTCATCAACCCCACACCTAGCCCTCCCTGAAAGCTGCCCTAGAGCCTATCTGTTGGAAAACACGGGGGAACTCCCGTTCTTCCGTTCTTCCCCCCATCCCCGCCGATTTTGTCGGGATGGACACATAGGGTCTATGTTTTTTTTTGGGGGGGGCCTTTGCTCCAAGTCTCCATGGCACCTCCCCCCATCTCCCCCCGTCTCCGCGCTCAAAGCGCTCGCTGGCCGCAGGCGGGTACCACCATCCGCTTTCAGCTGGGGGTGGCATCCCCTGCTCTGGCCGAGAAGGTGCCTCCGGCGTGGAATTTTCCGGAGACCAGCGCTTGGGGGTGGTTTTCTCCAACGGGGCTCGTTTTTTTCTGTTTGAGGGCAGCTGAAGAATTGAGCCACAATCAAAACCCGGGTAGATGAAGGTTAGTAAGGGGAAGTCCTAGCCAGAATTAGTTGCGGCCGCCTTCTTAATTCTTTACATGGTTCTGGGTAGACCATTTTGATACCGGGTTTAGATCATGACTCAATTGGGGTTTTCAAAGAGAAGCAGATGCAAAAGGGAACTGAAAGGGACACTCCCCCATTTCAGGGGTCATGGAGGGACACACCCAAATAAGACGCGGTGTCCTTGGTCCTCTTCATGGCTGGTCTTGTCGGAACAACAGACATCGGCATGGCGTAGCTGCCATCCCGGTCCCTTCAGTTTCCTCCCCGATCTTTATAGAACCGACAAGAAGCTTCAGCCATATTTTTGGAAGGGTTGTGGGATCAAGCGGTTTATCGCCACTTCTGTGATACAAGGGAATCTCCCTTTTTCTGTGGGGTCTTAGTCTTCGAGAAGCCCTTTCCGTTGTATCGCAGAAGTGGATTCCATGTCCCACAGCCCTGTTTGGAAGCTTTCGAAACTTCTGCTTGAGCCTGCAAAATCTCGAATTCATATTTTGCCCACGCATCAAATTATGCCCTCTCACCGATTAACATGGAACCTGAAAGGGGGTCCCTTGAAAAGTAGCCTCCCTACAATTTGCTCAAACGACAGGGGGGCTCACAAAGGACCATCTTGAGCGATGGGACTCTATGTTCACCGTGGCGTGTGATGACGGTTCATATTGATCCCTCAATTTTCTATTGGCGAGGTGTTACAAATCACAAACAAGACCAATACCCGGGTATGTCATCTTTTGAGGAAATCCCAACATGTGGTTCTCTTTTTCGGTACCGAGCCTCAAAAAACGACGAGCCACCCACCTGAAGAAATGAGAGCTCCTTCTCTGCGCGGAAAAGCCAACAAGCCGATCTGCTGCTGCGCCAGTCCTGTTCTAGGTGTCCGGTTTGCTCCAGACGAGTGTTGAAACACTTGCTGGTGGGACAGGCCGGGAATGAGGAATGACCTCTATAAACCCTCCATTCCTATGGTTTCCTTTATTCGGGAATCCCGAAACGGTTCATTCCCTCGTTGCCCTGCTGAGCACCAGCAAAGAAAAGGGGAGGATGTTTCATTTTTTTACAGGGGCCACCATTTGCAGGACACCATTTCCCCGGGGCAAACAAACAAGTCGCATGTGTCCCCCCAATTTTTCATCATTTGCTGGTCCTTCTTTCGAAATGTCCAGACCCGGCCCAAAGTTTTCTGCAGAAAACCGTTTCGGCTGCTCGCTGGTCCAGGTGATGAATTGGTATTTCAGGACCTGGCGGGCCTGGGGCTCGGAGCGAAGGGCGAGCGGTGAGCGATCTTCCGAGCCGGACCGATCAGTTTCTGAGAAACTTAACACAAGCTGGTACCTCCCCCCAAAAAAATGAAAGAAAAAGAACAAGCATATCTGTCTATAGGAGTTGTCAACTTAAAAATGGGAGTATGTTTTTGTTTTTCAGAGTCCTGATCTGAGTGGGGGGGGTGGATGGATTCCCACGAAAAGAGGCGTTTCCGTGACCTGACTGATGTCAATGCAAGAGGGGTAGACTAGGACCCTAAAACCTAAGTCCTAGACCCTAACCTGGCTTTGAAGTAGTGTGGAAAGAGCCCTGAGAAGGCTCCTTACTAGGCTCCTTAGAAGCCTGCTTTGCAGGCTCGATGGCACAGTTGGAAGCAAGTACAACTAGAGGCGTTTTTTGGGCCGAGGTGGTCCACAACCAAGCGCTTATTCAAAGGTCTGCGCTCACAGGGCATCCATCAATTCCGAAAATATCCTCCCTTTTGGATCCTGCTGACATTTGGACCTAAAAAAATGTCAGCATTTCGTCCAAGAATTTGCATCGGCTTTCCTTTTGGTTCCCCCTTCAAACCGCCCGAAAAGGGGCATCCTCCAAAACACGCCCCCGTTCAAACCACCCAAAAAGGGCACCCTCCAACACACGCCCCACCCACCTGGTGTGGAGACGAAGCCATGGGTCGAAAGCTTCATGGCGATTCGGCCTAGTCTGAGCCATCGAAGTTGGCCGATCGGCCCCGCCTTGGTGTCCGGAGTCCTTACCTAGGTCCCCCAGCTAGGTGCCCTTGGACCGTTCCTTTTTTGGTTGGGAGGGTTCCCCTACTACCATAGACTACAGGAAAAAGTTGGTACCCTTGTTCTAACCATTTCTAACCTCTCTACTGGAGGACCTAGTTTAGATTCCCCCGGCTCGCAGGAGTCTGGTCCAGAGTGTTAGATGTGGCCCATGGCCAAATGTTACTATTAGTACCACTTATACATATTGTATACACATATTGGTCTTCATATCTTCTCAAGGTCAAGAAGCAATCCAGACGGAAAGTTTGGTTCAAGGCCCCTTTCATATCTATGACTGTACTGAAGGGACGCCCCCCAAAAAACCAACGACTCCCAAGGGACCCCCCGAAACAAGCCTCCTATCCATGGAACCCCAAAATGGGTCCTTCGAGCCGATTCTCCTCTCAGGGGTCGGTTTGGACAAAGCGGAGCTTCGCAGCTGCCGTCCATCGGGTTTCATGTATTGACCAGACCGTTCTTGGCGGGTTTTTGGTGCTCTTGATTTTTAGGTTTGGGGGCTGCAACAAAAAACACCATCTGTTTTTTGGCGAGCCCATACCAAGGGCTGCGTGTGGCAAAGCCCAACCCGCTAAAAAAATCCCCGGGGCTTTGCTTGCTGGATGGTTCGATCGACGTGACGAACTCCTCGTCCGGGTGAGGTGCTGCCGCTGCTGGACGAGGACGGCGCGGTGCTGGACGCCTCCATGCCCACCTACCCCTGGCTGGGCCGCAACATCTTGGCGCCTTGGCCTGTGACTGACCTTGTGTGACCGACCGACCTTCGGATACACCTTCTAGGTCCCCCAGCAATTGGTGTCCTTTCTTACCGTCCCTTTTTTTTGTTGGGAGGGTTCCCCTGCTAACATAGACTACAGAAAAAAGGGTACCCTTATTCTAGCTCTCTACTAGAGGACCTAGCCTTTTCACGAAAGTTAGCTTAAGCTGAAGTTTCTCCTTGCGCAAGCAAGGTAAGGGGCTGAAATGCCGAAAGATTGATTTTGGATATGGGGGCGTGCCTTTTTTGAAGGTAACATCTACCCTGTTTGGGGCGGTTGAAACGGGAAGAACGAGGAAATCCAGAATAGCAGCCGAAAGCTATGGATTTTGGTCGATAGGCCTAGACAGGCGATCAGGGGTGGTTTGGGGCTTTCAGGCAGGCAGGGGCGGGGCTGTTGGGACACCACCTGGACTTGTTTGTTTGACCGCTGGCCATTTCTGTTCTGCGCCGGCGGAAAGGAGGGTTCCAAAAATATGGGGGAGTAGGGGAACCCGTTTTAAGGGCACCCAGAGGAAACAAAGCATTTTGTGTTAAATATTTTGAGACGAACCCATGTTCGACCCCAAAACTGCAGAGTTTAGTCGTCGTTTTTTTTTCTTCCCCCATCCCTGGGGTGGTGTCCAATGTGTGAGCTAGGAGAGGTCTTTAAGCGAACGGACCTAATTGAGGGAACGTTTGGTGGGTTATTCCCATATTCCCTTCTGAGAAGAAGCAATCTTCAAATTACTCAGCAAAGGACATCGCATTGGTGCCCTTGCGTTAAGTTTGGTCTTGTTCATTTACCTGTGCGATCGATGTCTCCACGACATGGGGTCAGTACCCCTTTTCTTTGGTAGTGCAAGACGTTTTGGGGTTGGTAATCTCTCTTTTTGAGCTTAGTTTTAGAGAGAACCAATACTGCAGCCTGCTTCCAATCTTTGCAAGGATGGTATGGAGGGTTAGATCAAGTTTCCTGGACATCCCTTAAGTTCAGGTCAGGTGAAACCAAGCGAAAAGAGAAGAAATCAGACGGCGGGTTCTTTCTTTCTGGTGCAGGGAATGACCTTCCGGGCTTTGGGAATGAACCGGAAGTCGGGATTCCCTTAGCGGAAACAGCGGATGGTTCTAGGGGTTCCATTTCTTCCCTGAGGACCAAGTTCTTCGGCGGCTTTTTTTTGGGACTCCAAACAAGATGTGCCGCAATTCTGATGCTTTCCTCACCATAGACTTTTCTGGCCCGTTTGCCCCACGCACGTCTGGTCATTTTGCTCCTCCGTTGTGTTTTTGTTCCATCATTTTCAATCATTCTGTTTGTTGGTCAAGAAATGTGCTTTGGTTCCCAAGGTTTCCTCATTCCAGGCGAGTCAACTTCGCTTCGAGTGTCGACAAGAGGGTCGCTCACGAGACGGTCAAGCAGAAACCAAAAGCACAGAATCCACGCAACAAAACATGGCTGAACCCCACCCCCTCGCCCTTGTCCTCATCCCCCGCAACCACTACCTCCCAATTTTCTGTAGCGCTTTGTGCCTTTTTGGAGCCTAAACGTGGCGATCAAAAAAACATGACTTGGCGAACTCCAGTGAACCCCACTTAGTATTAAACAAACAAGTCAACTTGATCAAAGCTTTTGATGTGGGGAACTCCAGTTGAGCCCCGGTCGGGAAGGAAAAAAAGGAAGAACACAAAAACCGAGGGCCCCCACGGACCGCCGGCCGCCTTCCGCCGCCCGCCTTCCGCGAGGCCACGGGCACCAGCGACGGCGCCTTCGCGGGCTTCTTGCTGGTGGGGCCCGGTGGACCCAGCGGACCCTTCGCCAAAGCGCCGAGGGGAAGAAATTGGCCGAAGTCTTGTGCCGAGCTGGTGGAATGACCCCCAAGGCGGTGAAAACAAAAAATGCGGAAGAGGTGTGTTTTGTTTGTTTCTGTGTTTTCCCCCCCTTCCCCGGGCTGGGTTTACGGGGAATCTATATCACTACTGGACATATATTTTCTCATTTTGTTGGGGGACGAACACTTGCCAATGGAGGTGTCGCGTGCGTCCGTGTCCCTTCAAGTCACCGGGAACTAAAAAATCAGCGCAGCAGCGCATCCGCGCAAGAAACGCCTGGCACCGTGAGGCAAGTGCCCTTCACCGTGACGCCCTCCTTGCGGACGCCGGGAGCAGAGCCGGCGCCTGAAAGACCTTGGACTTCGGTCGGTTTTGATCGGAAGCGGCACGGAAAGGCTTCCACTTGTGTCACTGTGTCGGAGAACAAAAGTAAGCTCTCTCTCTCTCTCTCCCTCCCTCTCTCTCTCTCTCTCTCTGTCTCTATCTCTCTCCCCCTCTCTCTCTCCCCCTCTCTCTCCCTCTCTCTCCCTCTCTCTCTCTTTCTCCCTCTCTCTCTCTCTCTGTCTCTCCCTCTCTCTCTCTCTCTCTCTCTCTCTCTGACTCGGACTCTGTCTCTGTTTCTGACGTTGCCCCTGTCTTTCTTTCTTTATTTATTTATGTTCTTTCTTTTGTTTCTTTTCTTTCCTTTGTTCTTTCTTTCTTTCTTTCTTTCTTTTTTTCTTTCTTTCTTTCTTTCTTTCGTTCTTTCTTTCTTTCTTTCTTTCTCTTTCTCTCTCTCTCTCTTTCTCTCTTTCTCTCTCTCTCTCTCTTTCTCGCTCTCTCTCTCTCTCTCTTTCTCTCTCCGCTTTCAACCTATGTTTATCATTCCGCCACGGCCTTCACGTTGGCCGCGCTCCCCCGTCCTCTTTGACAAAGCCCACGAGGATCATGCTGACCATCAACTTCGGCGTGGCCGACGGGGTGGAAGCGCAAGAGAGCGTCCGCATGGAGGTGCGGACCCCAGAGCAGCGCCCAAGATCCCCGGGCACAGCGACTTCCTGCATAAGATAGGCTTTTGTTTTGCCCTGTTGGTTTTAGAGGGAATGTAGCACTCTTGGAAATATGGTTTATTTTTTTGTCCAGGGGGCTTTTGCTCGCAAATGGAAGGCGACGCCCAATTTGCCCGGGCCTGGTGGTACGGTTTGGCTGCTACCCGCCCTATTTCCAACAAAGTGGAGCGATTCCGCAAAAGCAACATAATCTTCCAGAACCCTCCTGTCAGCTTTCATGATGGGAGGGTAGCTGTTGCTTTTTGTTTGCCAAGCAGGAAGCCAATGATTTTGACCAGCGCGAATTGATGTCTTTTCTGGCTGTGCCTAGGAGACTTTCTCGTATTTGGCCTGATGGTTTCACTCAAGGGCCTTATACTTTGAGATAGGCCTCTTAGACAATGGCAGTCGGTCGGGACTCCGGTTCAACGGGTTCCGATTCTCGTTGCGGTTTTGTTTCACAAGGACGGCTTCTGCCCGTGGCTCTGGAATTCGAAGGCCCTTCTGATTCTGACCAGTCTCGCATTCGCCCTGCCTGTTTCAAAAACAAACACGTTCCAGACATCAACCAATGGGGACAGGGCTTGCTTCTCCATGGTTGTTGTTGGGAAACATTTTACATTTTTGCTTATGGTGGTTTAGTGGGAAATCCCCACTTTGGTGGGAAACCCCCACAACTGGCAAAATTTATTTTGTTGCTCCCCTTCCAACGTCAACCAAGTTTGCGCTCAGCCGCCATTCTCCTGATAGCAGGGCCCTTCGTGGAATGGAACCCTTTTGGTGAGGGTCCGGGGTCGCCAGTGTCAAAGATTTTGAAGAAAGGCCCAAATTGGTGTCGTGTATTTTTGTGTTTCTTCTAGGTCCCCCAGCTAGGTGCCCTTTTTAACCCCTTTTTTGGTTGGGAGGGTTCCCCTACTAAAATAGACTACAGAAAAAAGAAACGGTACCCTTATTCCAACCTCTCTACTGGAGGACCTAGTCTTCTTTTTTTGAAGGGGACCCGAAAATGGGCCAGACTCGACTCGCGCTTTTTCAGCTTTCAGCTCCCCAACACCGGCTCATCGCGTACCAGCAACCAGACCTGTTGTGGTCTGGTTGCTACATGAACCGTGCCCATGGACCCCGTTTATGGGTTTGTCTCAGACTGGGGTGGTCCTTTTCACCCCAGAAAGGGGCACCATCAACCCTCAAACCGCATGGAACCCTTCTCGGGGCCTGGCATGAACCGACGTTTCTCCTTAAGGGGCCGTGATCGTTCCGCGAACCTGGACGTGATCGAGGATACCTTTCTTCCCCCCCGAGTTTCCTACCGGATTGAGATCCTCCGGAGCCTGGGATCCATTTCAGCTCACCCCCCCCTCCCCCCCAAAATGGGTGTGGCTCAAAATTCAAGGCCTGGGGCAAACCGCGGGTTTGCGTCTTTCCAAGCCCCAAAATGGGGTCCACCACTTTTTGAGCCACAGCCAAATGTTTTTTTTTTTTTTTTGGGGGGGGGTTTGGGGGGGGGAGGGGATGCCAAACACCGACCTTAGGCCCGAAAATAAAAATACAAAAGAAAAAAGAAAAACAACCGGAAAAAGAAAAACACACAAAAAAAAAAACAAAAACATCTGCCGCCAGGTCTTGGCACCTGCGGGCTTCGTCTTTGCCGCCGCTCCCCAAAAGGGATTTTGGGGTTTTGGGCGCTTCGGCACCGCCGTCTTCGGAGAGATGTGGCTCTCGGGGGGGTAAGGAACGTGTTCTCTGAGGTCGATGGAAGATGGAGCGTTTCTTTTTTTGTTTTTTTTGTGGTTGTTGTGTTGCCCGTGTCTGTTTGCCTGTCATTTTCCCTCTTTCCAAGATGCTCAAAAAAGTGGACGGTCGCGGGCTTCCGCAAAAGGAAAGCTTTCGTCTTCCACTCCTGTGAGCTTCCATGATTGGAGGGAGGGTACCATCCATAATTGCTGAAGAATATGTTTATTCTCCCTTGCTGGTTTTTAATGGAATCTATCACTACTGGACATATTTTTATTTTATCCAGGGGGCTTAGGCAAATGGAAGGTACTCTTTCAGGTATCCCCTTTGGGTCAAATGGATGGTTTCGGGCCCGATTGACACCTCGGCGATGGGAACCCCCAACATATGGCAGTTTTCTTTCTGGCTTCCCCTTAAAAGCAACCAAAAGGAGGCTTCCCTCAAAGAATCACACACTGGGTATGCTTGCCAGCAGAAAGTAGCAATGACCATCCCTGTGGCATGGATCTCGTCAAGCCTTTTGAAAAATATGGTTGTGGGTCAAAACCTAAGGTGCCTGTTTGTGGATGCTTACCCCTCCACTGTTGTCTTTTTAGAAGGCATTCTGGGTGTTCACGGTTTTGACCCATAGCCATATGTTTGGCCCCTCGGGCATTTCAGGGGCGAGGGGGGCCAAAAGCTCATGCAAACTTGCCTGAGGTTATGGACATGTGAACGTTGGTGCATGTTGCTTGGATGTTAGAACTTGAACTAACTTTTTGCCAACTAATGGGTTTTCCATTTAACCACCCAAAAGTTAAACTTTTAGCAGGGGAGCAGAAAGCAACCGAGTGAATGGAGTGTTGGCGTGGTTCAAAGCAAGCCGTCGATTCCTGTTCTCTTTTCATGTGGCCACCAAGACTCATTTTGAAGAAGTCCACACCCTCGGCAAGCCTTTTTTTTCGTGCATGTCTTTTGTCCGCTCCGAAGATGCCTGGTTTCAGTTTGGTTTCTTTCGGTTTGACTCTGGACTCCCACGCCTGCCTTCTCCAAGCTAACGGGTCTCGGGAAGCGACTCCACCAAGCCGACTGCAATTTTCGAGGGGTAGCTTCCATTTCCATTCTAAACCCAGGGGTCCGAATCTTTCTAGAAAACCACCAAACACCCCGAGGAACTGGCTGGTTTTTGAAAAGAACGATGGCCGAAAAGAATGGGGAATCAACCCCTAGAGCTTTACAGGCTTTCACGGGACACCACCAGGCAACTTGGAGTTTGGAAGGTTTGGTTGGTTATCCCATATGCTGAAAGGGACACCTAACTTGAAGCTTCGGATCAAATTTAGCTCGAGCAGCTCGTGTGGGTGTGGGTCAAAATGAAACCACTCGGGCACCGCAGGTTTTAGCCTTTCTTTCCATGTACCGATCGGGTTCCATTTGGGGTTACCTATTCTTGACAACCACAACCATGTGATCTAAGGACTCCTGCCGCTTTGGCGGCAGCCCCATCTTCTCCAAGTGTACTGGCTTCCAGAACCAGGCGATTTGGGCGCGTTTTTTTCTGCGAAGCGCGGACACGGCCACCGTGGAATGTTGACCCCATATTACTCAACCCCGGTTTATTCAAAATTATTTGGTCGGATCTTTGGACTTTCATTTTCTGGGAACTGATGGGGAGCCACAGCAAGTTGAACTTTTTGCAGAGGGGTGAACAGCAACCAAGATACGAACGGCAACAAGACAGCCTTGCTTAAGACACTCCCCCACTCCCATGGTGCCAACAAACATGCTGCATGGCACCTCCGATCTACACCGAAGGGCCCCATGTTCACTGTCTTCATCAAAAGACCCAGGCTGCTGTCCCAATGGATTTCAGGCCCTCGGGGCTCGGAAAGAAAAGGTCCTTTGCACCATCCGTCGATGTTGACCCCCATGTTTCACAAGCCCGTCCTGGCTATTCATAGCAAAGATGTCACCACAAAAGTGATACCGATTCCCACTAATTGGGTCCCTCAAAAATCAACTAGGGGTTCTGCTCCGTTTTTGCACAGCAGAAAGCAACACAAAAGGGTCGGGACTTGAGTTTTCTGTGAAGTGAAATTCGCCATTGGCGGGTGCTGAGCACCTGCAGCCTAATGTCTATACAGCAATACTTATGCATGTTGTGATGCCTTCAGAGTGGTACCGTGTGTCGAACAGAAAGGGCCCTTTTTGGAATGGTTTGAAAGGGTAGCAGGACACAATCATTTGGAGGTTCGTCTTGAACGACACGAGTCAACCCCTGCCCACGCCAAAAAAAAGGAAGAGCTTCTGTTTGGATCCTTTCGAGCAATCACAAGGTGAGCTTCAAGCGAAGAGTGGAATCCGCCTTCTTTTGGTTGACAGTTTGGTCAAAAATCCAGCCTACCAATCCTTCTTCCCCTAAGGCAGAGGCAAACATTCACTTGAGCAATCGACAATACCACTGGACACCGATCGGGACTCGATCTGGTAAGATGTGGGTTCCTCGTTTGAGACCCGGGTAAATGAAGGTGCTTAGGGGACAGTCCCAGCCACAAGAATGTGCGGCCGTCCTCTAGATTCCTTTGGTTTTGGGTCGACCATTTTAATACCCGGTGGCTCTTTGTTTTCCATCTTATCTCGGGGCTGAAACTGCGGACCTGCGTCGCAAATGGCCGTGTAGATCAAAAACGACCATTTCAATACCAGGTTTTGATTCCTAGGTCCCACAGTAGTGCCCTCTTACCCTTTTTGGGGGGAGGGTTCCCCTACTAAAATCGACAACTGAAAAAAGGGTACCGTATTCTAACCTCTCTACTGGAGGACCTAGATCCTGACTCGTTTCACCAGCTGACCTCTTCTGGGGCTCTCCCCACCAAAGCCCCAGAGGCTTTTTCCTTGTCAGTTCATGGCCAGCGCGAGGCCACTTTGGTGACTGCTCGGCCCAGGCAAGGGGGGGCCGCGGAGGTTTGCAAAGATCAAGGACGTGTGCTTAGATCCCCTCCCCCCTTTTTTGGCGTGGAATTGGGGGAGGGGGGATTTCGACCCCTGGAGATCTTCATGTATTGGGAGACCCAGTTCCCTTTTATGGGGAAGACTCGATATATAAATGGAATTGGGCGCCCCCCATCCCCCTCCCCTTATGGTAGGGGGATACCAGAGGTGTGCATCTCAAACAGATTTGCTAGTTGGGCTTCGTGCCAGTTATCAAGTTGTTTCCGAAGGAATAGCTGCCTGTAAGTCAGTCTCCATGAGACTTCAACTTGGCGGTGGATAAGAACAACAGGCCAACAGAACTGCCGCTCCTGCGGATATGCGGCCAAGTGTAGCAGAATCCCTTTGTCAAAGAGGCAAAGGCTGAGGTAACCTACGGAAGCAGTCAGGATTTTGGAACCTCCCTTTCGGGCACGCCCGGACTGTCCACTTCAATTGTTGGAAAGAGGCTTCCATTTGCTGAAAGTAAATGAATATGTTGTATTTCCCCTGTTGGTCTTCAAGGGAATCTATCACTACTGGACATATTTGCTCATTTTTTCCAGGGGCCTTAAGCAAATGGAAGCAGTTGTTGAGTGGATTCCACTTTTTTCTTTTTCCGTGTTTCCCCTTGTTATTTCAGGTGGGTTCACACCAAAAGGTGGCGTCGCCAGCAAAAGGCAGGGCCCAGATCTGGCCACAAAAACAGCCGCCTATCTAGGCTGCTGGGCTCGGACATCACCGTGGACCTGCGAGTGCGCAACCCCGGGCTGACGCCCACGCCGAACTACTTCTACTTGTCTCTCTTCCAAGATGCCGGGGGTCCCAAGCCACAAACGGCCGTGGGGGTCAAAACCGTTAAACGGGATCCCAGTTTGGCTGGTAGGTGAATTCACCACCCATTTTGGGACCTATTTTGGTGGGGAGTGGGATGTTCACTGGGGGTACGGGCTTTTGACCCACGGCCATTTAAGCACATGCCCAGCAAGCCCAAGCCCGGCTTGCTGTGAAACGAAGGTACTGACTCTAGGCAGAGAATGAGTTGGCCCTGGGCGGGATGGCCATCACAGAAGCACCGTCAGAGCCTATAAACCTCTAGGTCCCCCAGTAGTGCCCTTCCTCACCAACTTTTTTGGGGATTCCCTTACTAAACGGACCACAGAAGAAAGGGTACCCTTATTCTATCCTCTCTTCTGGAGGACCTAGACTTGGGACGTTGAAAGGCATCGCGAGTCCCACAATTTCACACGTCCATCCAGCGAACACGGCCCCCGGAACGATGAGCCGCATTCCGCGCGCGGAACAGTAGCACATTTGTTGAAAGGGTACCAGCAAAGTCGGGGTCGTGGCCACACTTTTTTGGAAGCAGGGTAAAGGTGGCACCTGTTCATTTTCACAAACCCAGTATGCTTGCCAGGGCCGTGGTTGGACACAGGGTAAAGGCGGCACCTGTTCATCCTTGCCCTTTTCCCCCCTTTGCCATGGAACAAGGCAGCGCCCATGGCCACTGGGGATGTGGTTTTTCGGGGGGTTTGGTCTGAGGAGAGCACGCAGTACGTGCGATGGTCACAGGCATGGGGCGTGATGGGAGTCGCAGAGGTTTGATAGATATATTACACTAATCTATGTATAAGTGTATATTATATATATAGAGAGAGAGAGAGAGGGTGAGTGAGAGAGTACATAAATTGTGTATGTATATATATATATATATACATATGTACAAAGAGCGAGAGAGAGAGAGAGAGGGAGATAGAGTACAATATATATATACATATATTTTAATAGGGAATCCGAAATGGTGGACATCTGAAAAAATCATGTCCGACCATTCGGGGTTTCTCAAAGCCAAGCTGAGAGACGATGAATCAGGTAGCTGGGTTGGTGTTCTTTCGGCGGCGCTGAGGCCTTGGGAGTTTCTGTATGGCTTCAAAGCAATTGGGGATGGGAATCACCCAACCCCTAAAACAGGTACCCCTACCCCATAGAACCAAAAGACAAGGCCAACCCCTAAAACAGCTACCCCTACCCCATAGAACCAAAAAACAAGGCGACCCGCCCCCCAAACCATACCCCTACCCCATAAAATCAAAAACGATCCCTCTCCCCAATCAGAGTGAACAGAGGGCCCTGTTTGTCAAAGGCAGGTGGGAATCACCATCACTTTGGGAAATCACGGAAAGGGACATGTAATATTTTCCCCCACCGAAAACGCGGAGTTCTCGAGCGAAATCTCGGCTGAGCATGGATCAGCTTTCTGAGGGCGGCATTTCACAGCCTGGAGGAAGGGCGGAACAATCTTGAACATGGGCTAGGTCCCCCCAGCTAGGTGCCCCTTTTAACCCCTTCTTGTGGTTGGGAGGGTTCCCCTACTAAAATTTAGACTACAGAGAAAATAAGGAAAGAACAAAAACGGCACCCTTCTTCCAACATCTCTCAAATCTGGAGGACCTGGTGGGGTTTGGGTAGACTCGACCCCTTTAGCAGACCTGTGCTTTTGGCTCACATGCGCTTGTCAGACCTTGAGCTACGAGATCATGGGCCGGGAGCTCATGTCGCAAAGTTTTTTCGAGGAGAGTGGCAGGTGTTTTTGTTGGTTTTGGGGTTGTGCAGGACTGGACGCCCCTAAATTGGTGTGCAAGGTGGCGTTTTGTTTCTTCTTTTTGTCTTTTTTTTTTGGGGGGGGATTTGAAGCCTCTGGTTGAGGGTAAAGGTATGCTTTATGACACCAAGCCGCCCATCTGAACCGCGAAAAGTCGCCAAGGGGAAGTTGTTTGTGAGAGATTTGGCAAAGGTATGGGCGTGGTCTACAAGGGCAACAACCAGTTGGGAGAGGCGAATGGCCCGTTCGGTCTCCTCGCTCGAGACGGGCTTGGGATGACTTGAGTCGACTTGAGGCTGATCGAAGTTTGTTGGGTGGCCGGTTGGGATTTGACGCATCTCCCAAATGGGGGTGATCAAAAGGTCCATTACGTGGGATGACCATCAGGAGAACCACTAAAAACAGATGCCCTTCCCAGGGGAAAAGTTGCCCATGGTCAAGACTGGTAGCCGAAGGAAGATGGATCAAGCCCCAAATGAAGCCAGGCGAGTGGGAACGGGAGGTTTTTGCCACCAATTCCTTGCTGAGAGATGCAGGGAATGAGACATGGAATGAGCCCTAACAAACCATGCAACGGGTGGTTTCCTTTCTTCGGGGACAAGCCTGCCTGGGTTCCCATAGGTGTCCTTTTCGGTTGTTTCGGAAGAAACAGTAGATGGCGATTCCTGGTTTACCTGGTGGTTTCATCATCTACCGGGGAAACCCATCTATTTCCCCTAAACGGGCACCCACGCCCAAACCTCCAAACCCCCCATCAGCACCCCCTGGTTGGTGGTTTGGATTGGTTTGGTTGGATTTCTGCCCCCTAACCCTAACCCTAACCCTACTCATGGCAGCAGCAACGTCTTCCAGACTGCGTCGGTTTCGGTTTCAGTTTCAGCTCTCAGGCGGCCTCCGGATACTTCACCTTCACCCCGGTGCGGCCTTCGCCATCTTCGGTGGTCTACATCGCCGCGCCAGCGGAAATTTTGGATCCAGTTGCTTATGTCGTTGTTGTTGGTTTTGTCCTTTTGTTGTTATTTTTGTTCGTAAATAAATAAGTAAAGCATTAACCAAACACATATGAATATGTTTAAAGTTATGTTTAAGATGCGTCTGCTTGCAAGGTTTACGCAGATACAAGTCCGACATGGCTTCCTTTTTGCCCCTTCCCCTTCAAAATCGACCAAAGCTTGCGTGCCGAATCTTTTGGCCCGTGGTTCAATCTGGGGGTCGCCTAGTTAAAAGAGCCTGGCATCTACGGCAGGTGGTCACCCCGCCGCCCAGCTCCGGGTTCCGGGTCTTGTGTGCGAGCCTCGGTTCTTTTTTTTTTCCGCGCGCCCGCCCAAGCGGCGTTCGTAAGGACTGAGCGGTATGAGATGGAAACCCAGGAAACCCGGGCAAAATCTCAAGAATTTGAGGGGGTGTTTTTTTAAAGGTTAACCCCTTTTTATTTCGCTGGCTTTGAAGGGAAGCCAACAGAAGCACAGCACCATCTGAGGTGTGCGCTAAAAATAGACACCCATTTGGTGAATCAACATGTTTTGAAGATTACACATGGTTTCAACATGGTTTCACCCTGTGAAATTGTCCCCTGAGGATTTTTTCTTTGGGATTTCCAAAAACCATGGGAACTAACATGTACGAAGGGGTCGAACAGAACCAGAGGGCCAAACATGCCACAACGCAACGGGAACGTTGTTGAAGAGCATGTTCCCTTTTTGTTTGTCCAGGGGGATAATTACCAGGAACCTGTTCATGCCCCCCTGTTTTTTATTTTTTTTCCACAGGGCATACCGGAACCTGTTTCCTCTAACCTGAATCTTCATGGACGACTCTGCCCGCGTTGAGCGCCATGGCGAGGTACGGGAATCAGCCCCCTGGGCTTCATCTTCATGCCGAACTGCGAGCACCGCACTCGACACACTCGAGACTCGAGCCCTGCGGGGCCAGGAGGGCCCTCGTCAGCCCCGAAAAGTAGATCATGAAACTACTCGACTTTTTTTGATGGGCCCTCCATTTTTGTTTGTCCTTGAAAGGAAAACCACCCCCCTTTCTACCTACGATGAGCGGTTCTGGTCCTTGTTGCTTCTCACATCCATTTGTCAGCTGTTGAGATGGAAGGGGGCAAGGAAAACTTCCCTTTTGTGGGGCCCTCCATTTTGGTCTGTCCTTGAAAGGAAACCACCCCCCTTTCTTCCTTTCTTCGTAGGGCCCCTCCATATTGCTTTCTCGGAGGTAACCAAATGAAGCAACTGCCGCTTTGGGATTTCTGGAGACGACGAGCTCCAGGGCCACTGGAGCAAATGAGAGTGGCAGAGGATCCGATGCGGCTTGATCGATATTTCGTTAAAGGCCCCCAGTGTTGACCTTGGGTAACTTTTCCCATGTGTTGGGAAATACCGTCATTTTTAGTGGTTATCCCAGGTAAAGGACCCTCTGATCGACCCCCTTATCCCTTATGGGACCGACAAACGTATTCCGCCGGGTGTTGCCTGCCCTGCCTCAAATGAACTTGAGGCTCCGATGTGGTCAGGCATATCTCGCTCGCTGCGCGCCGCGCGCCGCACCTAGCTTGGCTCGAGGAGCCATAGGGTTTTCTAAATGCACGGATTCCATATGCGCCTCGGCTGCAGTCGCTGACCCATTTTTGAGCTGAGAGGCTGAGAGTCGAGACCTGGGTTCAGCGAAGGTCGGTTTTCGCATGGGTTTTGCTTTCGACCTTGACGCACGTCGACGGATAAGTCAACTCGGAGGAACTCTCGGAGTGTTTTCTCCCCCAAAGTGAAGGATTCCTCTAGATGGTCACCCTCCCCCTATTCATCAACCAGGTCTTGATTGAGGCTCAGTGGTTTTGCTCTATGGCAGCTGATCGGAAAGCCCGCAAGGGCTCTCAAATAGCAACCTCAACAGTGCGTTTTTGACCGCACAGCCCACGAATGGTCCTTCCTAGATCCCCCAGTGCCCTTTAACCAACTTTTTTTGGGGGAGACTTCCCCTACTAAAATAGACAGCGAAAAGTTGGTACCCTGATTCTAACCTCTCAACTCTGGAGGGCCTGGCCTTATCAAATTGCAGCAGCGTGTGGATCCTAGTCCAGGGCCAACCCACAGTCTTCGCTTTCGGAGGCTCGCAGGTGTCCCCTTCTGGTGGGTCTTGGTGGACAAATCGAGGGGTTTCGAGTCCTGGTTTTTTTCCTGGTGGTCTCATCATCTGCCGGGGAAACCCAGCTATTTGCCCGAAAAGGACACCTATGCTCCGGATTTTGGTACTTCTGATCAACCAGCTGGCTCAAGACCTAATCGCCCGTGATGAGTGGATTGCGGGCTGTGCAATTTCCGGATTGGACTAAGCGGTTTACGGATTACGGATTGTGGGTTGCATGGATTTCCATACTTCAGCCTAAGGTTTTGATCCACGATTTGTAGGGGATTATGGATTAAGAAGCCTACCGACCGTGGAACAAGCATTTTGCGGATTCTGAATTGTGATCAGGCCCCCCGGAGAGGATTTCGAACTTGATGTCCTCAAGCGTTCAGCTGCATTTGTCTCGTGCCTGTGTGCCTGTGTGCCTGTGCGCCTGTGTGCCTGCCTGCCTGCCTGCCTGCCTGCCTGCCTGCCTGCCTGCCTGCCTGCCTGCCTGCCTGCCTGCCTGCCTGCCTGTCTGTCTGTCTGTTTGTTTGTCTGTCTGTTTCTGTCTGTCTGTTTCTGTCTGTCTGTCTGTCTGTCTGTCCGTCCGTCCGTCCGTCTGTCTGTCTGTCTGTCTGTCTGTCTGTCTGTCTCTGTCTCTGTCTGTGTCTGTCTGTGTCTGTCTGTGTCTGTCTGTGTCTGTCTGTGTCTGTCTGTGTCTGTCTGTGTCTGTCTGTGTCTGTCTGTGTCTGTCTGTGTCTGTCTGTGTCTGTCTGTGTCTGTCTGTGTCTGTCTGTGTCTGTCTGTCTGTCTGTGTCTGTCTGTGTCTGTCTGTGTCTGTCTGTCTGTCTCTGTCTGTCTCTGTCTGTCTCTGTCTGTCTCTGTCTGTCTCTGTCTGTCTCTGTCTGTCTCTGTTTGTGTCTGTCTGTGTCTGTCTCTGTCTGTCTCTGTCTCTGTCTCTGTCTCTGTCTCTGTCTCTGTCTGTCTCTGTCTGTGTCTGTCTGTGTCTGTCTGTGTCTGTCTGTGTCTGTCTGTGTCTGTCTGTGTCTCTCTGTGTCTGTCTGTTTCTGTCTGTCTCTGTCTGTCTGTCTGTCTGTCTGTCTGTCTGTCTGTCTGTCTGTCTGTCTGTCTGTCTGTCTGTCTGTCTGTCTGTCTGTCTGTCTGTCTGTTTGTCTGTGTGTGTGTGTGTGTGTTTGTCTGTGTCTGTGTGTTTGTGTGTTTGCGTGTCTGTGTGTCTGTGTGTCTGTGTGTCTGTGTGTCTGTGTATTTTTGTATTTGTGTGTATGTGTGTTTGTCTGTTTTGTGTTTGTGTGTTTGTGTGTATGTGTGTTTGTGTGTGTTTGTGTGTTTGTGTGTTTGTGTGTGTGTCTATGTGTGTATGTGTGTATGTGTGTATGTGTGTCTGTGTGTCTGTGCGTTTGCGTCTGCGTGTCTGCGTGTTCGCGTGTCTGCGTGTCTGCGTGTCTGGGTTTCTGTGTGTCTGTGTGTCTGTGTGTCTGTGTGTCTGTGTTTTTGTGTGTGTCTGTGTGTCTGTGTGTCTGTGTGTCTGTGTGTCTGTGTTTCTGTGTGTCTGTGTGTCTGTGTGTCTGTGCGTCTGTGTGTGTGTGTGCAGGCGTTTGTGTGTGAAGCATGGGGATCAATGCGTCCAGTAATTTTCTGTCAAGTTGTACTCTCATGACGCCTTTGGTCTGGAAAAACTTTACCAGCCCAGGTGATGATGCTGCGCCTAGTGCTGGTCTTGATCGGCCTTGCACCTTGACCAGAAGTGCCAAGTGCCTTTGGAGTGTGGGTATGTGTCAAAATAGGGGGGACAACCAAAATCGGGAATCGCTTTTGATTTCCCTTTAAAGCCACCCAAACAAGGGTACCCTCAAAAACACACACACACACACATGTGTCCGTGGAGACGAACATGTAGAAGGGCCGGACGGGATAATTTGTTCTAGAGATCTGTGGGATGTTATTTTGGGAAAGACTCTGGGCTTTCTAACCCAAGCGTTTGTCATTGTTGGCTTGGCCAGCAGGTTCATCCACTTGTTTGGCACTCGCACATCGCCGAGATGCTCATCAGAAAACGGATTTGGGATGCAAAGCCCCAAAGTAAGCCAAGGGCAATGTTCAAGGGTTGTGGGAGGGCTGCAGCAATTTTCCCCGCCTTTGTAGATCCTTGACCTTTACTGGCCGCGAGATCTTGATCTGACTTGCCATTGGAACAGCAGCTTTCACCAGACACCAGCTTAGTCTGCCAGAACAGGAGGTTTCAACAGACGCCTGGAAATGGAGAAACACCCCCAGCGGATTTCTGGTTGGAGGGGTATTTATTTTAGGATTTTTTTTTCGTTTTTTTTTGGGAATTTTTTCGCTTTTGGCTTCTTCGCTTTTGGCTTCTTGGCTTCTTGGCTTCTTGGCTTCTTGGCTTCTTGGCTTCTTGGCTTCTCGGCTTCTTGGCTTCTTGGCTTCTCGGCTTCTTGGCTTCTTGGCTTCTCGGCTTCTCGGCTTCTGGGCTTCTTGGCTTTTTGGCTTCTTGGCTTCTTGGCTTCTTGGCTTCTTGGCTTTTCGGCTTCTTGGCTTCTCGGCTTCTGGGCTTCTAGGCTTTTCGGCTTTTTGCTGGTTTATGCGGCTTTTGGTGGCTTTTTGGCTTTTCGCATCCTCTGCATTCCCAGTTCCTCTTCGGCAGGTGGCTTTTTTCCGACATCATGGGGGGGGCTGCCGCCCCCCCCAACCCCCCCGCTACGTTTTAGATTTTCTGCAGAGATTTAATTAGTTGCACCCCTATTTGAATCATCAATTCTTCGAACATCATGGGGGGGTTGCACCCCTAGTTGAATCATCAATTCTTCGACCATCATGGGGGGGCGGCCTTAACCCCCCCGCTACTTTTTAGACTTTTTGCAGAGATTTAATTGCACCCCTATTCAAATCATCGCTTCTGCAAGCAACATCGTGGGGGGGGCTGCCGCCCCCCCCCCAACCCCCCCGCTACTTTTTATATATTTTTTACAGGGATTGACATGGCCTCCTACTTGAATCATCATTTCTTTGACCCCGTCACACGATTTGTTGGTGATGCTAGGGATGTTGGTGGGACATGCGGGGTATATTTCGCGAGAACATGCTGTAAAATACGACACTTTACTGGCCCGGCAGAGATTGAATTGCACCCCTGTTTGAATCATCACTTTTTCGAGCGTCCAATTTCGCGAGAAAATGCTGCAAAATACGACTTTTTAGGTAATCTGTGTAGTCCGTGTATGTTTGTATGTATGCATTTCTTCGAACATCATAGGGGAAGCCACCCCCGCCAACCCTCCCGCTGCCTTGTAAATTCTATCACACCCTTTCTTGAATCATTGCACCCCTGCTTGAATCACCACTTCTTCCGACATCATGGGGGGGGCTGCCGCCCCCCCCAACCCCCCCGCTACGTTTAGATTTTCTACAGAGATGCACCCCTAGTTGAATCATCAATTCTTCGAACATCATGGGGGGGGGCTGCCGCCCCTCCCAACCCCCCCGCTACTTTTTAGACTTTTTGCAGAGATTTAATTGCACCCCTATTCAAATCATCACTTCTGCAAACAACATCGTGGGGGGGGCTGCCGCCCCCCCCCCAACCCCCCCGCTACTTTTTATGTATTTTTTACAGGGATTGACATGGCCTCCTACTTGAATCATCATTTCTTTGACCCCGTCACACGATTTGTTGGTGATGCTAGGGATGTTGGTGGGACATGCGGGTATATTTCGCGAGAACATGCTGTAAAATACGACACTTTACTGGCCCGGCAGAGATTGAATTGCACCCCTGTTTGAATCATCACTTTTTCGAGCGTCCAATTTCGCGAGAAAATGCTGCAAAATACGACATTTTAGGTAATCTGTGTAGTCCGTGTATGTCTGTATGTATGCATTTCTTCGAACATCATAGGGAAGCCACCCCCGCCAACCCTCCCGCTGCCTGTTAAATTCTATCACACCCTTTCTTGAATCATTGCACCCCTACTTGAATCACCACTTCTTCCGACATCATGGGGGGGCTGCCGCCCCCCCCCAACCCCCCCGCTACGTTTTAGATTTTCTACAGAGATTTAATTAATTGCACCCCTAGTTGAATCATCAATTCTTCGAACATCATGGGGGGGGCTGCCGCCCCCCCCAACCCCCCCGCTACTTTTTAGACTTTTTGCAGAGATTTAATTGCACCCCTGTTCGAATCATCACTACCCCGCTCTGTTTTTCTTAATTGTTTTTTGGTATTTTTTTTTGCTGGGATTGAAATGCCCTCCTGTTTGAAGCGTTATTGTTTTGACCCCGTCAACCCGCCAGCTACATTTTTGGATTTTGTTACCCACGATTTGTTGGTGATGCTAGGGATGTTGGTCGGACATGCGGGGGATGTTGAAAACGATGCTGGGGATGTTGACGAGCTAGTGTAAAATGCGTCAATTTCGCGAGAAAATGCTGTAAAATACGACATTTTGCTGGCCCGGACGAAAAACGAAAAAAATTCCAAAAAAAAAACGAAAAAAAATCCCAAAATAAATCCGCACCCTTTCGGGTTTCCCACACGGCCATGGACACAACAAACGCCTCCGAAGTGTTGCTCTCGGAAGTTTTGGCTCCCGTTTTTTGGCGCCCGATTCGGATGGGTGAAATTCGGATTTGGTTGAGGGATTCCGCTGGTTCTTGTTTGGGGCTCCATGGAATGTCCCACGCCCCAAACCTCGATCCAAACCAACCCCCCATCAGCTCCCCCCGAGTGGGTGGATTGGTTTGGGGATTTCTGCCCCCTAACCCTAACCCTAACCCTAACCCTCACCCTACCGCTGATATAGATAATCGAGCGCATGGAAAGAATCGTCTCCTTTGCGGAGGGTACACGGGGAATTTCCTTCCTTCACCACCAAACCACCTGGCCCCCAGCCACCCTCTTTGAGGGCAGCCGACTGAGGTTCGCTCAGAGCGTCCAGTGAGTGGTCTCGGATACGAGGTGCGGAATCGGAGTGCTCCTGTAGGTTTTTTCTTGGGAGTGGGAAACCATTGGAAGCCAAAAGGGAAATGTCTGTTCCATCCTTGAGAGACTGAGGGTTTGCTTTGCTTCGCACCGGAGCCTGTTTTTCTTTTTTTGGAGGGGGGGAGGGATTTGTGCTTTTACCTCAAGCTGGCTCTGTCGTGGATTGTTTGGCTTCCTCTTGGCTTCTAGGTTTTGATTCACTTTCAGTAGCAACCCAACAGGTTGCTGACTCGATTGCCAGGTTGTCTGGCTGGGTCAGGCTTCATTATTCTGATTGGCTGTAGATGTTACAGGTACGGTTCTGTTTTCACCTGTGTCTGGTATCATGTTCATTATTGCTATATTGATTTTGCCATCATCATCATCATCATCGTCATCGTCATCGTCATCGTCATCGTCATCGGCATCGTCATCGTCATCAGCATCATCATCAGCATCATCATTATTATTATGACTGTTATTATGATCAGTATGAATCATGAATATGATTGTTTCATCATTATCAGTTCTATTATGTACTATTATGTATTATTATGCAGTATTATGCATTATTATTATTGTTGTTATTATTATTATTATTATTGTTATTATTATCATTGAATATTATTATCATCATCATCAGCATGACTACCATCAATCATAACCTGATAGTGATGCTAAGTATGGCTACTGTTGTTGTTGCATATATGTTTATAGTGTAGATCTATACGTTTCTACATATAATTCGTATGGTAGTGCAATGTGTATGTGTATGTGTATGTATATATATATATATATATACACAAATTCATGGCAATGAAATTGAATGCAACCCCGCTCAAACATGGAATTTGGACCGGAATTCCAGTTTTAACGACGTCCACAAAACAAGTTCCGCAATTAGAACGCATACCCGTACCCACACAGCTATCCCTCCCCCGCGCCCCAGTGCCTGTGTTTTGCTTTTTTTGAGCCGACAGGCTTCAATGTGTCGAGTATGTTTGCATCAGATTGAGAAGAGGTGTGCAAGCTTGTCGTCCATTATGTGCTGCATGCTACCAAAGAGATACGAAACCATGGCCTCTAGTTTCGGACAGCGAGCAACTCCATTGCACAATTCCGAGAAACCCTGATAAACCTCAGAAACTGGACCAAAGATATTAGGTACCCCTCATAAGAAGAGCTAAACGAAAGGTGGCCTTGAAGGCATTTTACTAAGCTGCAGGCAGAAACATGTCCGCGCAGGAAGAATGCCACGCTCTTTGTTGCACAGAAGCTGAGTCTTTCTGTGAACTTCTATGCGCAAGTTTTCCGAGAGGTTTCTCTTGGAGCAAACTACCTTTTGCACAAAAAATCCCAAAGCAAATATTGACGTCGTTTACCTAGACCGCGTCATAGCAGACCTGTAGCTAAAAGGCGGGGAACCAAAAGCAAATCTGCCCGGTACGAGCAGATCTATGCGCTAAACCGCAAGGATGCTTCACACGATGCGAAGGACTGCGGACCTCATCGAACAACTGGTCCTTAGTGGCTGCGTGCGGCCTCATTGCGCGCAAACTGATTGAGACAAAATGGCTGCACATCATGGCCGTGACAAAGAAGTTCGGCTATGACGGGTAACAGCTCAGACTCATAACTTGCCAGCCACCCCTAGACCAAGTGGTAAAGAAAGATCCTGAACTCGATGGCAGAGTGAAGACCGCCGACAAAGCAAAAGCGCTCGAGCTGCTGACCTGCAATGTTTGAACACGTAGCACCAAGAGCACCAGACACATGTATTGTTTTATGAGCATATGCCCAGCTGGAACACTTCAACGGGTGTAGACCCATACGAGTATATTCGTGTGTATATATGGGTATACATACGTACATACATGCATGCATGCATACATGCATGCAGACATACATACATACATACATACATACATACATACATACATATACACACATACATACATACATACATACATACATACATACATGCATGCATGCATGCATACATACATCAATCCATGCATACATACATTGATACATGGATACATAGATGCACAGACCACAGATGCACAGATGCATAGATGCATAGATAGATGGATACATGCATACCTACGCACCCACACAGACATACATGCATGCATGCATACGTACCTACATACCAACATACCTGCATGACTACGTACATACATACATACCTGCCTACCTACATACATACCTACATACCGAAATACCTGTAACTACATACCTACACACCTACATAACTACATACCTACCCTACCCTACCCTACCCTACCCTACCTACCTACCTACCTACCTACCTACCTACCTACATACATACATACATACATACATACATACATACACACAGACATACATACATGCATGCATGCATACATACATACATACATACATACATACATACATCAATCCATGCATACATACATGCATGCATGCATGCATCACAGACCTCCATCCATCCGTCCGTCCGTCCGTCCGTCCATCCATTCATCTATGTAATCATGCATGCATATATATATATACATAAAGCTGTATTCATATGTATAGGCGTATGCCTGTATATATATATATATATATATATATATATATGTGCATACACATATCTACGAGCACCGCATTTCTTTGCACCGCGCATCGATTGTGATCAGGTCAGACCTCATAGAGCAGATGCTCCCTCGTCTCTCCTGGCCGGGGCGGGAAATGGGGGGCCGCAGCATCTAGGTCCCCCCCAGTGCCCTTTCTCACACAAACTTGTTTGGTTGGGAGGGGAACCTCCTACTAAAATAGACTACCGCAAAAAGTCGGGACCCCTTATTGTAAACTCTGTGGAGGACCTAGGCATACAGACACCAAGGGAAGTTTCAACAGCACCCTGGTCCTTGAGCGCACGCACCCCCACAGCACTCCGACCAGCACCTGCAACACCAACCTGTAGCTTTGAGCCATCTGGGGAAAAAGCTGTGCCGCACTGTGACCTCAAACAGCACCCCAAATAGCACCTCAAAACAGCACCTGCACCGCCATGCCCCCGCAACAGCACCCCAAAAAGCACACCCCCAAAGCAGATTGTGCTGCCATCTGGACAAGATGCGGTGCCCCAAACAGCAGCCCGAGCACCGATCATAACCACCAAACAGCACCTTGCGACCAGTCCCGACCAAATGCGCCCGCACCGTCACTAGCACCCCGATTCGCAGCAGCTGCGCCAGCGACCCGAACTGCATTTGTCCCTGCACCCTGCCGCCATTGGAAATTACTCCCCCGTCTTTACTAGGTCCCCCAGCAAGGTGCCTTTTTTTACAAACTTTTTGGGTTGGGAGGGTTCCCCTACTAAAATAGACTACAGAAAAAAAGCAGCGGTAGCCTTGTTCTCACCTCTCACATTTGGAGGACCTAGTTGAGGATGTGATTGCTGCAACAGTTGGATGGGGCACACGGGTACTTCGGAGGTTTCGTTGTTCACCTTAACCGCCGGTTCCAACTATGGAACAACTACAGGATCCTGTCATGAGTTCCTGGAACATGGCCTCTTGGACATTTTGGCTGAAGTTCGGATTTGGCCGGGGGGTCTATGTGATCTACGTGCTTTTGTTTCCCCTTAGGATTGTAGACACAAGTTCAGGTTACTTTTGAGTGTGACCTGAGAGCTTCCGAGGTCTAGACATGTACAGAAGCCGTCCTGAAAACCATTTCCCTTTCAATATTGACCCCACATTAATAACCCGAGTTTAGTGACAGGGGGAGTGCCCCTGGGTTTGGTGGGGATTCATGACTTTTGGAGGGGAACACCCCCATATTAATAAACTTGGGTTGATTCGGGGTTGATCAATCCGGGGTCAACATATTAGAGGGACCTGCCACCCGTCCAGGGCGAGAGAACTGTCATCTCACTGCGATTCCTTGTGTGAGTCGGAATTCGGAAACTCAATGCTTCGTTGAGAAGGATACGATCCGAAGTCCAATCATTGAAATGATTGACAGCTTGAGACAGCAAAGTTTTTGCACATGTCCATGTTAATTAAAGATGATTAGACATGCCCCGTGTCACTGGCAACTTGAACTTGCTATCTTTGGTTTGAATTTCAACTATGACCCCAGAAAAAGACATACAACGCTTCCCCCTTCAGCTAGCATGTGGTTTGAGGATTTTGCAAAAAAACAAACAAACTTTTGGATGATTTCAAAGGGAGAGAAGGAAATTGGCTTGTTTCAGGGATTCCTATTTTGAGAAACACATTTTCGTGGATGCAGGCGCTTTCTCAATCCAAATCTTTTTCAGAACCGCCGGCTGGCATCGCAGGAGACCCATCTGAAGAAATTTCGGCGGCGCGGCGCGGGGCTTAGCTTTGGTAAGCTAATTTTGTTTCTTGTGGCTGGGTATACAACCAAAGCTTGCGCAGGTGTCCCTCAATGTTCCCTTTTTTTTGGGCTTGTGGCATTTGCACTGCAGCCCACCAGTCAATCGCACCCTGGAAAATCCAGCTGTTCTTCGCCAGCCAGAAGTTCTGTTTGGGGCCAAAAACTGCAGCTTGGGAGGTCGCGGTTGCCTTGAGGAGTTTTCTAATGGGCAAACTGTACTCATATCGGCAGGAGCGCACCTGCAGTAGCCCACAAAACCAGTCTATGGCCCTACCAGACAGACTTGTGAACCGCTACGCAAGCATGTGTGTGTGTGTGTGTGTCTCCTTTGCACGTTTGTGTCAGCAAGAGTCATGTCTGAGCTTTTTGTCAAAAAGTTTAGGTGTCATGCTTGCTAGTGGCCCGAGTCTTACCGGCAGTGTTCCACTTGTTGACTGCGAAGACTTGAACCCAGGGCTGGTTCATTCCCTGCAAAAAGAGACCCTCATGTAAGGCTACCTTGACTACCCTGCGTACTGGAAACCCATGTGTGCATAGGTGTCCTTTTTGGTTGTTTTGGTAGAAACATAGATGGCCCTGGCTTACCTACCTGGTGGTTTAATCCTCTTCCAGGGAAACCCATCTATTTCCCCTAAAAGGACACCTATGCATGTGTGCGCCGCCTTCGCTTCTTTTGGGACCGATGTCTCGGACTTTCAACTGGCGACAGCGGGTGTGAGCCAAGTTGTCGTCGACTCGTCGAAGAAACGAAAACGCCGGGAGAACCACTAGGTCCCCACGTAGTGCCCTTGTTCCCGTGCCCTTTCTCACCCCTTTCTCGGTTGGGAGGGTTCCCCTACTAAAAATAGACTACAGAAAAAAGGTGGTAGCCTTATTCTAACCTCCCTACTGTAGGACCTAGACTGTAGACTTCTCGATGTGGGTGTGTCTTTGAGGAGACCCTGCCGCCCTGCCCAAAATGTCACAGCGTTTTTTTTGCTTCGGGTTCCCTAAACCAAACTGGCCAACGTAGGGTGCCACCTCCAAGAATACGAGGCAGACCCACTGCGGTACTTGACGTACGCCCATGGGGCCGCAAGAACCCGAGCCTGCCGCGAGGTTCAGGGCACAAGACGAAGTGGGGATTTAACCTCTTCCCGCAGAAGGACGGGCCAAGCGAAGGCCAAGGCAAAACGAGCTGAGGGAGCCACAGCAAAGAATCGAGCTGACGCACGCCCCATGCGCGAATCGGATATCAGCCGAAGAATGACGTGTGCGTCGTTCTGTTCGATGGTGTTCAACGTTTTCCTTGGAATCGACGAGGAACCATGTAATTTGTGGGCCAAAGATGGGAAGCCCAGACAGTCCGAAGTACCACATAGTTCAGGCTTTGGCTTTGATTCCAGGGATTCGTCAATTACAGATTCCGCAAATCCGTAAATATGAGGTACTTGGACCCTCTGGGAAGGATGGGTTTCAACCATGTAACTTGCAGGCCAAAGATGGGAAGTTTCGCCTGAAACCGGGAAGGTGCATGGCCGAGAGACTGCAAGGGACAGAGATCGACATATTCACACGCACGGTAGATTACATACAAAACGAACGCACAAAGAAAGAAAGGAAGGAAGAAAGGAAATAAATTTGGAAAGAAAGAACGAAAGAAAGACAGAAAGACATACAGACAGAGAGACAGACAAACAGACAGACCGAAACAAAGAAAGAAAGAACGAAAGAAAGAAAGAAAGGAAGTAGATCAAGTAAATAAAGAAATCAATCAAGACACACAGCTTAACAAAGAAAGCACCAACCGACCAACCAACCAACCAACCAACCCACCCACCCACCAACCAACCAACCAGCCAACCCAACCAGCCAACCAGCCAACCAACCAAGCAAGCAAGCAAGCAAGCCAAGCAACCGACCGACCGACCGACCGACCCACCAACCAAACCAACCCAACCCAACCCAACCCAACCCCAACCCAACCCAACCCAAACCCAACCCAACCCAACCCAACCCAACCCAACCCAACCCAACCCAGCAAGCAAGCAAGCAAGCAAGCAAGCAAGCAAGCAAGCAAGCAAGCAAGCAAGCAAGCAAGCAAGCAAGCAAGCAAGCAAGCAAGCAAGCAAGCAAGCAAGCAAGCAAGCAACAACCAAACAGACAAACAGACAAACAGACAAACAGACAAACAGCCGAACGAACGAACGAACAAACAAACAAACAATTGAATTCATGAATGAATGAATGAATGAAATGAATGAATGCATGAATGAATGAATGAATGAATGAAATGAAATGAAATGACATGAAATGAAATGAAATGAAATGAAATGAAATAATGAATGAATGAATGACTGACTGACTGACTGACTGAATGAATGAAATGCAATGGAATGAATGAAATGAATGAATGAAATGGAATGAATGAAATGAATGAATGAAATGGAATGAAATGGAATGAAATGGAATGAATGAAATGAATGAATGAATGAATGAATGAATGAATGAATGAATGAAATGAATGAATGAATGAATGAATGAATGAATGAATGAATGAATGAATGATTGAATGAATGGATGGATAGATGGATGGATGGATGAATGAATGAATGAATGAATGAATGAATGAATGAATCAAATGAATGAATGAATCAATGAATGAATGAATGAATGAATGAATGAATGAATGAATGAATGAATGAATGAATGAATGAATGAATGAATGAATGAATGAATGAATGAATGAATGAATGAATGAATGAATGAATGAATGAATGAATGAATGAATGAATGAATGAATGAATGAATGAATGAATGAATGAATGAATGAATGAATGAATGAATGAATGAATGAATGAATGAATGAATGAATGAATGAATGAATGAATGAATGAATGAATGAATGAATGAATGAATGAATGAATGAATGAATGAATGAAATGAATGAATGAATGAATGAATGAATGAATGAATGAATGAATGAATGAATGAATGAATGAATGAATGAATGAATGAATGAAATGAATGAATGAATGAATGAATGAATGAATGAATGAATGAATGAATGAATGAATGAATGAATGAATGAATGAATGAATGAATGAATGAATGAATGAATGAATGAATGAATGAATGAATGAATGAATGAATGAATGAATGAATGAATGAATGAATGAATGAATGAATGAAATGAATGAATGAATGAATGAATGAATGAATGAATGAATGAATGAATGAATGAATGAATGAATGAATGAATGAATGAATGAATGAATGAATGAATGAATGAATGAATGAATGAATGATGGATGAATGAATGAATGAATCAATGAATGAATGAATGAATGAATGAATGAATGAATGAATGAATGAATGAATGAATGAATGAATGAATGAATGAATGAATGAATGAATGAATGAATGAATGAATGAATGAATGAATGAATGAATGAATGAATGAATGAATGAATGAATGAATGAATGAATGAATGAATGAATGAATGAATGAATGAATGAATGAATGAATGAATGAATGAATGAATGAATGAATGAATGAATGAATGAATGAATGAATGAATGAATGAATGAATGAATGAATGAATGAATGAATGAATGAATGAATGAATGAATGAATGAATGAATGAATGAATGAATGAATGAATGAATGAATGAATGAATGAATGAATGAATGAATGAATGAATGAATGAATGAATGAATGAATGAATGAATGAATGAATGAATGAATGAATGAATGAATGAATGAATGAATGAATGAATGAATGAATGAATGAATGAATGAATGAATGAATGAATGAATGAAATGAATGAATGAATGAATGAATGAATGAATGAATGAATGAATGAATGAATGAATGAATGAATGAATGAATGAAATGAATGAATGAATGAATGAATGAATGAATGAATGGAATGGAATGGAATGGAAATGGAATGGAATGGAATGGAATGGAATGGAATGGAATGGAATGGAATGGAATGGAGTGAAATGGAATGAATGAAATGAATGACTGAATGAATGAATGAAATGAAATGAATGAAATGAATGACATGAATGAAATGAATGAAATGAATGGAATGAATGAAATGAATGAAAGACTGACTGACTGACTGACTGAATGAATGAATGAATGAATGAATGAATGAATGAATTAATGAATGAATGAATGAATGAATGAAATGGAATGAATGAAATGAATGAATGAATGAAATGAATGAATGAAATGGAATGAACGAAATGAATGAATGAATGGATGGATGAAGGAATGAATGAATGGATGGATGGATGAATGCATGAATGAATGTATGAATGAAATGAAATGAAATGACATGACTTGAAATTACATGAAATGAAATGAAATGAAATGAAAGCAATGAATGAATGAATGCATGCATGAATGAATGAATGACTGAATGAATGAATGAATGAATGGAATGAATGGAGTGAATGGAATGAATGAATGAATGAATGAATGAATGAATGAATGAATGAATGAATGAATGAATGAATGAATGAATGAATGAATGAATGAATGAATGACATGACATGACATGACATGACATGACATGACATGACTTGAAATGACATGACATGAAATGAAATGACATGAAATGACATGAAATATAATGGAATGAACTGAAATGAAATGAAATGGAATGGAATGGAATGAAATGAACTGAACTGAAATGAATGAAATGAATGAACTGAATGAACTGAATGACAAGAATGACATGAATGACATGAATGACATGAATGACATGAATGAAATGAAATGAATGAAATGAAAGAAAGAAAGAAAGAAAGAAAGAAATAATGAAATGAATGAATGAATGAATGAATGAATGAATGAATGAATGAAGGAAGGAAGGAAGGAAGGAAGGAAGGAAGGAAGGAAGGAAGGAATGCATGAATGAATGAATGAATGAATGAATGAATGAATGAATGAATGAATGAATGAATGAATGAATGAATGAATGAAATGAATGACTGACTGACTGACTGACTGACTGACTGACTGACTGACTGACTGACTGACTGACTGACTGACTGACTGACTGACTGACTGACTGACTGACTGGACTGACTGACTAACTGACTGACTGACTGACTGTGACTCACTGACTGACTGATTGACTGACTGACTGACTGGCTGGCTGGCTGACTGACTGACTGACTGACTGACTGACTGACTGCTGTGACTGACAGTCTGAGTGACAGACTGACTGCCTGACTGACTGAATGAAGGAACGAACGAACAAACGAACGAACGAATGAATGAATTAATGAATGAATGAATGAATGACCGAACGAACGAACGAACGCATGAATGAATGAATGAATGAATGAGTGAGTGAGTTAATGAATTAATTGATTAATTCGGAATGAATTAATGGATAGATTAATGCATGCATACTTTTATATATATATGCATACACACACCAACTCACATGTGTATATATTTATATATGGTACCCCCCTGGAGTACTCACGTGATTGATCGGTTCACATTAGTCCTGAAATTAAAAGAAGAAGCAGGTAATGCCACTTGTTCCCATCAACTCGTTGCTTGGATACCTCAATCTTTGCAAGAGCTGGTCAACGTTCGGAGAGCCAACAGCGTTTGTGGAGCAGCACTGGATTCCACATTTTTTAAAGTCGATTCCTGAGAGTCTTTCTTGCGCAAACATTGGACCCAACACAACTTGCACAGATAACAAATCTGCATTTATCCATGGAGTAAGTGATGCTTTGTGTTGTTGGGGGCCACCTGCAGCTTACAAATGATATCTCGGAAATTGTGTACGTATTGCATGTTAAATCCTATCAACCTTTGAAAGGAACATTCTGCAGAAATGTATACTGCAAGTCATGCGCTTGTTCAAAGGAGGATGTTGGCGCTGCTGCCAGCATCAGTTCGCGTGTCTCGACCATGACCCCGTACCCTGTCGAGGGTGTTGCTGTGCGCTCATCCACTACCAATTGGTATCATCATGCCAGCGGAATGTTTGCTCCACCCGTTGCGCTTGTGCTGCTTGATTCACCTGTGGCATTTTTATCAAGTCATTAAGATGAGTGTATTGCATGAGTCCAAGTTTGCAATGGTTGTGTCTCTTCGTTTGCTTTTTTGTTGCAGAAAGGGCTGCAATAATTTTGCGTGCAGGGATTGTTTGCAGTTTTCTGGCAAGTCCCTAGTCTTTGGCTGCGCGTCAATTGGCTGCAAGCCTTGCCTTTGTCAAAGAAGAAGTCTGGATCAAGGCTTAACCACAGGCAAAAACATGGGTTGTCAGTTGGGGGAGGTGTATTTGTTGTGTATATATATATATATGCAGCTATTTGTATTACACGAGCTCTGTTCGTAAACTCTGACTTGTTTTTCTTGTCTTGGTTGAATCGCCGCAGATTAAGCACTGCTGAGGCTTTATGCGTGCTGCAAGTGCGCAAGTACAGCATAAGTAAATCCAAGTCAAGGTAATCGAGGGCAATCGAGCGCTGTTTGTGTTGCTTGGGCTTCACGCAACGTGCCCAGAGCTCAACAATGGGACAAGAGAAAGGTGTTCATGTCGTAAGGGACGGATTTTTTGGCAGTGAAGAGCAGAGGTGTTGATACGTACGTGCAAGGTCATAGTCATGTTAACAGAGTTGGAAGGCTTTCTTAACGACGGCTGTATGCAAGGGATTTCCTGCATGCGCAAGCCGCGCACAGGGTGTGGGCAGGCGCGAGTCTTCGTCTGACCCTTTGCGTACTGACTGTCTTTAGCAGTTTCCTTGAAACAACGCCTTGGTTTGGGCCAACCAAGAGAGCAGCAGGGCTCAGGGAAACAACTAGCAGGGATACAGGGGGAACCAGGGATTCGCGAGGATTCCCCCTAAATGCACCTTGACTAAGTTTGATATGGGAAATGGCGCCAAGGGAATCCTCCCTCTCCCCGCTCCCTCCGTATCCCCGTTTGTTCGTTTGTCCAAAGGGTAATGTTGACCCCTGATGAACAAGCCTCCCAGTTCTTAACCAGGGGGGTCCCCCTGGAACAAGGGATTTTCCACTCGACAGGGACCCCCTCAATAATCAGTGGGGGGTTATTCATCAGGGGGCTGCATTCAACGATACCTATTGTTCCACAAAGTACCAACTAGGAACCCCGCTGGAAGGCTTTTTCACAAAGCAACCACCCCATGAAAACCTGTTTGCGTCGTCATGTGCATGCGCTCACACGCAAGGGCTGCGTCTACGTTTTGCCTATACCTATGTTGATGGTAGGTACATCGTGGCCGAGGTTTCGTTCTAAATGTTGGCAGCAGAATGCAACCACACCTTCTCAACATGACAGGAGAAGGTGCGGCCTTTGCCAGAGCTGGAGGGTAAGCTTGCTACCAAGGAGGCGCTGCTCGGCTGCTCGCTGTTTCAAGTGGAGCGAGCTGAATGGTCGCGTGGTTGATTCCCAAAATTTTGGTTTCTGGGTGGCCGGACCCCTTTGGAAGACGTTGATTTCCATCTGAGGCCATCTGAGGCCGGAAGCTGCTCGAGGGAGTGTAACCCTTTTTGGGTCGAGGAGCACGAAAAGGACCTCCACCTCGATGCCATTTGGAGACCATATGAGCAAGGGGCAAGAAAACGCCACAAATTTGGTACCGCGGCCTGTGCCAGGTTTGCTTGGGCCCTTGAAGTCACTGGAGTCGGGTGAAACCCGTCCGCGGTCTTTGAGTTTCCGTTCTGCGAACGCCGCGTGCTGATGGCTCACTTGCCTGCTTGCGGAAAACTGGGTTCCAGGTCCTTTGTGAAAGGAACCCCCTAGTGAAGTCATGGTTTTTCGTCGGGCTCTCCATTTTTGTCTGTCCTTGAAAGGAACCTCCCCCCCCTCCCCGAGTTTTTTCGTAGGGGCCCTCCATTTTTGTTTGTCCCTGAAAGGAAAGCCAGCCCCGGCGAGTTTTTTTCGCAGCGCCCTTGTGAAAGGAACCCCCTAAGTCATGGCGTTTCCACGGCTCAGCGGATCAGGAATTTGCCAAGGAACAGTTCGGGATGCCCTGTTGAAACCAGTCGGAAGGCTTCGGTTTGGGGGTTCCAATTATGCGGCTCAAAATTGAATTATCGGAGGGGCACCCCGCAGGTTTTGGTCCATGTCTTCACTTGCTCGGGCTTGCGCCGTTTTGGACTTCCTTTTGTTTTTTGAATTCGCCACAGCCGCTGAAGACGGGTCCCATGCCCGCCAGGAGTTCCAGAAGATGTACAGCTACAACTGCGCGGGCCTCAGCTTTTGGCGCACACCGTGGCCATATGGCTGTTGTCAATACCGTTAAACGGGATCCCGTTTTGGTTGGTGGGTGAATTCACCACCCGTCTTAGGACCTGTTTTAGTGGATCGAGATTGGGATGTTCACTGGGAGTACGATTTGGATTTTGAGCCATGGCCATATTGAAGTTCGAGTTGCATGTTCCTTGAACAAAAACATGGCTCCCATGTGCTTGAATGGTTGAAATTCATCGCCTTCCTTTGGGATATCTTTCTGTCACAGGGTGAAATCTGTGGCCATGTGTTTCCGGGTTCTCCAACTTGGCCTCGGCCCATTCGGTTCGAAGGGTTTAAACGTCGGGATAGCCGGATGCAAATCAAAATGTTCAATGGGCCATGGTCGCCTTGTTCAGACCCTGCAGGGCAAACTCACTTGCCCAAAGCGAATTGAAGTTACCTTCTAGGCAGTCTTTCGAGCTGCTCCCTCCCCATTCTCTTCAGGGATCCTTCTCTTCAAAAGATGGGCAACAAAAACAGGAAAGTAGGTGGTGTCTAAAGAGAACGGGTGAGGGTGGCAGGCTTTAGAAGAGATCATTTTCCATTCTCTCCTGGAAAATTTGGTGGTTTCCAGGAGAACCATCTTTAGAGGATAATTCCCCCTTCTCTCCTGGAAAATGGGGTGGCTTCCAAGAGAACCAGGACCCCATGGGTGAAGAGACTGGGGAATCAAGCCTTGCCTCCTGGAACCATGGGCCCAGTGAAGAGACTGGGGAATGCCTTGCCTCCTGGCTGAGGGCAGCAGAAATGGCAGCGGGCCGCCACTTTGGAGGCACACACCGCTCCGATCGGCCTCCGCCCGATGGGGGTGGAGTCAGGTGACCCCCCCCAAAACCTGGCGGCCGGTTGAGTAGGTCGCTACCAGATCTCATGGAGGTTGTCACCAAAACCCCATTGGCGATATGAAGAGGTAATGTTAACTTGGTTTCGGAGAAAAGTTTGTGAGAGCCGGGGCAGCGAATGATGTCGCTGCACGGGATTGAATCGCGAGCCTCCTGGCATTGCAGACCCGACTGGTCATGTTGGTTCCGATGGCTTTCTCAGTGGGAAGCACAGCAGCTGCTCGCTGGGATGTGTCCCTCGCTTTACGGAAGTTCCCCGCTCCCGATCTTCAAAAGGAGAAGGGGGCCATGCAAAGCTTAACAAAATCATGCTGACTGTGGTTGAAGTATAACCCCCCTACCCATGGGAACCAGAGGTCTCCGCTTGGGAAATGTAAAAACTCGCAGGGAAACGAAACCAGAACGACCGGTGACCTCAACGTGGCACAAGGATTCCCTTGCCACCCATGGGGTGTCTTCTGGAAAAATCATGGACCTGGGAAAACAAACACCTAAACATGTGGTTGTTCCTTTTGGTTTCCCCTGAAAACCACCCCAAAAGGATCCCCAAAGAGACAAAAACCCACTGTACCCCCCCAGCCCATCCCCTCGCTCTCCGCGCTCAACCCCGCGCAGGCGCGGAAGTTGTCCCTGGACGGGAAGAAGAAGCCAGGGCCTCAGAAGGCCCTTCCCCGGGCCAGAAGAGCCATCCCGCGATGCTGCTGCAACAAAAGTCTCAGGGTTCTGGGATCACCAGGGCTGAGTCCAATATGGGATCTAGCCCATTTTTTTGAGGGGGGGTTAGTCTTTGGGAGGCCCTTTTTTGTATCACAGAAGTGGATTCTATTTCCCACAGCCCTGACTAAAGTCATCCAGGCGAAGGTCGGAAGCACCCTCAGTTGAACTTGACCCCCCCCCCAAAGACAGCCAGAATAACGACCCAGACAACTGCAAACGACAACATGCCACAACGGAGCAACGCTAGCGGTGGCAAGGAATTACAAGCTTAACCCAAGCAAGCAGCAGCAGCGCTTTCGCGGGCTTCGCCAAGAACGCGCCAATCACAGGCTAGTCACCGGCCACTGCTAAAATTTTGTGATTCAAGGTGTTTGGGGCCAGGCAGCAAGCTACGCCATGGTTTTTCTTGGGACCAAAACGCCCAGTGAGCAGCAAAGTACGTCTTAGTCTCCGGCTCCCCCCCCCCGAGTCCCCCCAGCCACCGCTCGCATCCCAAAGTCGTGAGATGCGAGCTGAGCTCCGAGCTTTTTGCCGCCAGGTACACGCGGAAGCAGTGGGAGGATAGGTACGGGGAGTCCAAGGACGCCAACAAGAAGTGGGAGCTCGCCGACTGGGTGTCGCCCGTGGATATCAGCCAGGACGCCCGAGTCTCGAAGCAAGCAAGCGCAGAGAGGTTTTTCGGTTAGCCCGAGATCCCGTTGCTCTCTCGCGCGGAGAGAATTATTTTGGGGCCCCAGACACCTTTTTTTTTTGGCTGACGCGGAATCAGGTTGCACTTGTTTAAGGTGGTTTGGAGTGGTGGTTTGCTATTATGGGTTTCAGGGGTGGTATTCTGAGGGAAAAGGGTGTATATATATAATTTGTGTGCCTTGATTTTCGTACGTTCGACCAAATTAACAACTACTTTGATTTGGAGGATTCACGGGTTTCCTGACCCGCTCTACACTCGAATGGCTTGGATTGCAATGTACGCGGTGATTGACTCTTGAGTTAACATGCCCGTTAACCGACCGACCGACCGACCGACTGACCAACCAACCAACCAACACACCAACTAGTCAGTCAGTCAGTCAGTTAGCCAGCCATCCAGCCAGCCAGCAAGCCAGCCAGCCAGCCAGCCAGCCAGCCAGTCAGTCAGTCAGTCAGTGAGTCATTCAGTGAGTCATTCAGTGAGTCATTCAGTGCATTCAGTGAGTCATTCAGTGAGTCATTCAGAGAGACATTCAGAGAGTTATTCAGTGAGTCTTTCAGTGAGTCAACCAATCAATCAATCAATCAGTCAGTCAGTCAGCCAGCTAGTTAGTTAACAAATCCAATCCAATCCAATCCAATCCAATCCAATCCAATCCAATCTAATCGAAATCAATCAAGCATTATCACCGATCAAGAAATCAATTCAGCAATCCAGCAATCCAGAAAGCAACCAGACAATCCAG